GAGCCCGAGGGTGGCATCGGCGACCTTTGGGAAGGAGAGCGAGATGCAGGTGATCCTCCCCCGGCCGAAGGCGAAGAACTTCTTGAAGGAGTTTCCTTGAGTGTTGCCACACCGCTCAAGGATTTGAGAGAGTTGTGCAGGAAGCTTGGCTTAAGTGCGAGCGGGGGGAAAGACAAGGTTCTCAGGAGACTTCGGAACCAGCGCGAGTACCTCGAACGACAGATGGCCAGCGACATTGCCCGAGGACTTTATAAAGAACAAGCTCGTGATCCAGGCCTCCCTCGTGCTCCGAAGCTTCCTTCTGCCCGCCTTCAAGAGCTTCACGAGGTGACGCACCAGCCGTTTCAACCATGGTGCCAAGCCTGTCTGATGGGACGATCGAGACAAAGCCCCCACGAAAAGCAGCAAGACGAAAAGGCGAAGACCGAGGAGCCCCAGGACCGTCGGCCGGTCATCCAGATCGACTACTGCTACACGTTCACCTCAGAGAAGGGTGAAGGCCCAGGAGCACCTGAGCCAGCCGACGACCAGGGACACGAGGACCCACAACAACAGCCAAAGGAGCCCCGTGAGGCCAAGCCAGACACAGACAAGCTCGACACCAAGGACCAGTTTGGCTGCAACTTGGTGGCTGCTGAGTCCACCACTGGGTGGATCTGCGTGGTGCCGGTGCTTGCAAAGGGGTCTTCGTCTTTGAAGCGTGCCACAGAAGCCCTGGTCAGGATGAGCATGATGATTGCTGGTGCCGAGCCGGTGGTGATACAGGGCGACCCGGAACCCTCGATCAAACAGCTTCTCAACTCCTTCGAGGCTTGCAGAGTTCGCTTGGGACTTGGCGTTGTGCAGCGAGAGGCCCCTAGGGGGTCGCATGCCAGCAATGGTGTGGCTGAGAAAGCTGTGAGCACAATCCGCCGGCATGCCCTGACACTCAAGTGCCACCTCGAGGACCGGATCAAGGCCAAGGTCGGTGGGCATACGCATATCTTTGCGTGGTTGCTGAAGCACTCAAGCTTCTTACACAATCGATATTTCCCGACCAACAAAGGACTCCCACCGTTCGAAGCAGTGCACTCAAAGAAGTATGTTGGAAAGCTCCTCCCCTTTGGGGAAGCATGCGTCTTCCACGCCCCCTCGAAGTTTAAGGGGGATCTCCAATGGCAGCGTGGAGTTTGGGTTGGGATATCCGAGCGGAGTAACTCCCACATGGTCCTCACCCCGGACGGAGCAAAGGAAAGCCGGTCAGTTCGACGTCTTCCTCCTGAGCAACAATGGTCAGCTGAAGCTGTTTTGGGTTGCCGTGGGCTGCCCTGGGACTACATTGGAAAAGGGAGGAGGAAGAAGGCTATGTACACAAGTGTCCGGGCACCTCTCTTGCCTGACACCGCCACCCTGGAGCAGTTGGCCAAAGCAGCGGGGAAAGCAGCAGCCGAGACGATAGCCGCAGCCACACCGCCGCCGCCGCAGCAGGCCCCAGCGCCCGCTTCCCCTGGAGACGTGGCTGGCACAGACCCTTCGTCAAGTGACTCAAGCAGCAGCAGCCCAGGCGGGGACCAAGAAGGAGAAGGAGCTCGAGAAAGCAATCCGGCCTGCACAGAACCACAAGAAAGACCACCAGGAGGGCCTCCTGATCTTAGAGAACGAGCTCGAGGAAGCAACCCCAGCACAGAACCGCAAGAAAGACCACCAGGAGGGCCCCACCAACATGTGCAGATGGATGTCTCAGAGAGTCATGCAGGTGGTCGTCCTGGAGAGAACTTGCCGCAGGTGTCACCAAAACGTCCAAGGTTGTTGCTCGACAGACCCAGGTCCAGTGCAAGCGAAGCCGGTGCATCGCCTTCCTCGTCTACATTGTACCCTCCAGGCTTTGCAGGAGTTCGTGCAGTTCACGGGGACATTGAACCAGCTGAGGAGGCAAGCTGGGAAACATGGATCGAAGAGGTTGGGGACGCGCTTGTGAATGAGGAGGAGAACTTTGACGTTGATGATGCCTACATCTTTGATGGAGAACGCCCCCCAGACCTTTCTTTTGAGGAGCTCTACATGATGGACCTCGAGAGTGACAAGAAGGAGCTGGACAGGCTGGAGGGCATGGGAGTTCTTAGGCGAGTGAAGCCAGATGAGGATGTCACCAGCTATGCCTTCCTCACCACGAAAGTGGTGCGAGATTGGCGCCGCAGGCCAACGTGGGTGCGAAGGTCGCGTCTGGTGGCGAGGGAGTTTAAGAGCTGGTCGTCGTGGTCGCAGGAACTCTTCGCACCAGCGAGCACCCTTGCAACCATCAACAGCTTGATCACAGTAGCAATGGCCGAGGACCTTGAGGTCGTTTCGATCGACATCAAAGACGCGTACCTCAATGTTAAGCAACGGGCACCTGTTGTGATACATGTCGATGGCCGACTGATGGGGCACGACACCGCAGAGCCAGTTGCCTTCATCCTGGAGCGCATGCTCCCAGGCCAGAGAGCAGCTGCAGGAGAGTGGTTTCTCTTCATGAAGGAACTGTTGGGTGGAGCCTGCTTGGAAGGATACATCAAGGAGCCCACGCTCTTTGTGCACAAAGGCCCGACGGCCAAGACCAAGCTGATTCTGCATGCTGATGATGGCCTGCTAGGCTCTACCCGAGAGGAGCGTGAACACTTGGTTGCTAAGCTCGAGGAGCACGTCACCGTCCAGGTCAGCGATGTCCTCACCAAGAACAGCGGGGAGATCGAGTTCCTCAAGAGGCGCTATGTCGGCACCCCTGATGGTGTCTACATGTTCTCCAATGTGAAGCACGCCGAGGCCCTGATCGCTGCAGTGGGTGATGATGCTAAGGAGCGGGACACGCCAGCGGACCAAAGCTTTACGGAAGTTGACAGCAGCAAGGACTTGGAGCCGAGCAAGAGCAAGCTCTACAAGGAGGCGGTCGGACGGCTCTTGTACTTGAGCCACAGCCGCCCGGACCTTCAGTATGCTACGTGCATCCTGGCCTCGAAGATGTCAAGGCCCACGCAGGCGTCATGGAGATGGTTGATGAAAACAGTTGGGTACTTAGTTCGTGTACCGTCCCTCGGCTTCCTCCTCAGGCCCGCGAGGGATGGTGCCAGCCTCTCCTGGGCGGTTCTGAGAACCTACAGCCCGGTGGAAAGATTGTCATTGAATCTGTGACAGACAGTGACTGGGCTGGGGTCAAGCGAGACCGCAGAAGCAAGTCATGTTTGCAGATTTTCGTCAGTGGGTCAATGGTCACCTCAGCCGTGCGGACTCAGAAGTCGGTAGCACTAAGTTCGGGAGAAGCGGAATTCATCTCGATGGTCGGAGGAGCTTGTGAATGCCGCTATGTCCAGGACTGCCTGCGGTACATGGTGAACGGCGCCTACGAGATCGAGGCCAGACTGCGAGGAGATTCGGCAGCTGGGCGTGCCATAGCCCAGCGAGTGGGCTGTGGGCGCGTGAGGCATCTTGATGCCAGCCTCCTCTGGCTCCAAGAGGCAGTCAAGAAGCAGGAGTTCAAAGTGTCCGCCATTGCCGGCCTGGCAAACCCTGCGGATATTGGCACGAAAGCTGTCCCTACTGCCCGTCTTCGTGAACTTCTCTACAAGCTTGGCGCTGTTGACGAGAGCTTTGAGAGGGTCGGACAGAGTGAGCACGAAAAGGCCGAGTTCAAGAACAAGGCGAAGGAGATGATCAAGAGTGGAGCCCTGGGAGTGAAGAGCATCAAGCAGCTCATGCCGGTTCTTCTGGTGTTGTCGCAAATTCAAGGGATTGAGGGCTTGAGCTTGGTTGCGGGGTTCTATGAGCACTCCCTTGAAGATGTTGCGGCACTCCTTGTGACATGCATCCTGGGCTTCTTGGTTCTCACGGTGGTCTTCGGAGTTCCTGGAGGCATTTTGCTTCTGTTGCAGTGGCTCACCCGGAGCCAACCCGAGACTGCAAGGGCCCCTACTCGTGACGCAGGGGTTCCGGCCAACCTTGGCATGGCTGAGGATGAAAGACTCTTCATGGAGGAGTATGTGGGCCGCTCTACCGAGCAGCGAGTTCTTATCGCTGAGCAAGCACGGGAGATCGAGAAACTGGAGAAGGCCTTGCGTGAGGAGAGGCAACAGTCTAGAAATGTACAGCGGATTGAGCAGGTCCCACCGAGAATCGCTATTGCCACCAGTCGTGGCGAGCGTTACCACCGCCCAGGATGTGGCAATTTAAAAGTACATGTTAAGACCTACACGCCGTGTGGGCACTGCTATCCAAACCAGGGGTAGCTAGTGTATAGATTTTGATGTGGCGGCTGACCGCTACAGCAGCAGTCAGCCGAGGCGGGGTGCAAGTTGACAATGCATCCCATTGAGCCCTTTGTACACACCGCATTTGAGCCCTCAAGTCAGTGAGTGGAAAAGATTGCAATTTTATTTTATTGTAATTTATTGTCTTTTCTTTTCTTTCCTTTTCTTTTCTTTTCTTTTCTTTTCTTTTCTTTTCTTTTCTTTTCTTTTCTTTTTTTTTTTTTTCTTTTTTTTTT